GAAGGCCGGGCACGGTGGCTCACGCCTGTCATCCCAGCACTTTGGGAGGCCAAGGTGAGAGGACTGCCTGAGCCCGTGGGTTTGAGACCAGCCTGGGCAACTTGGTGAAACCTCATCTCTATAATAAATCCAAAAATTGACCGGGCGTAGTGGCACATGCTTGTAGTTCCAGCTACTTGGAAGGCTGAGGCGGAAGGATCACCGAAGCCCAGCAGGTCATGGCTGCGGTGGCTGTGAGCATGCCACTGCACTCCAGCCAGGGCGACCGAGTGAGACTATGACTCAAAAAAAAAAAAAAAAAAGCCAGGCTCGGAGGCTCAGCCTGTAATCCCGCGCCTTTGGGAGGCGGAGGTGAGTGGATTGCCTGAGCCCGCGGGTTCGAGACCTGCCTGGACAGGGGGGGACCTAATCTCTACAATAAACTAAAAAAAAAAAATTAACCAGGCGTGGTAGCACACGCCTGTAGTTCCAGCTACTCGGAAGGCTGAGGGGAAAGGATCGCCGGAGCCCAGCAGGTCATGGCTGCGGTGGCTGTGAGCATGCCACTGCACTCCAGCCTGGGCGACCGCGTGAAACTACAACTCAAAAAAAAAAAAAAAGACTGGAAGATAGAGAGATCTTGGAGCAAGGCATGTGGATGAATCTGTGGGAATGGACAGGAAGTATATTCCTCCCGTGTTAACAGGATGACTCGAACAGTTGACATCTCCCAGCCTCTGCCATCTGCTGTCCCACTGCGGGCACATTGGGCTCTTTGATGGAGTGACCATGGGACAGGTAGAGTTTGTGTGTGGGCCCACAGCTGGTGCCCCTCAGAGCTGATCTAGCTATTTCTCGCTGAACATCCGATCTTCCAGCAACAGACTAAATGCTGAGTCCCGCCCAATAGCACCTTTCTTTGAGGAGAGCAGTCAATTTGGTGGCAAGTTGACACCGATCGCCTCACACCCTAAAAGTTACAGTGATTCACCTTGACTGGAACCGATACATGCTTTAGGCATGGGTATGCCTTTCCCATTCTCAGGGACTCAGTTCCATCCTCTAAAGCTCAGAGTGTCTGATGCCCTGGCACAGGTTCCTGCATACAGCCAAGGAGCTGCAGCGGTGGGCATGCAAGAGTGGGACCCACCGGCTCCCTCACGAAACTGCCAGCCTGATAAAGTGGCAGAATGGTCTGTGAAGGGCACAGCTCGGCCGGGCTTGGGGGCTCAGCCCGTAACCCCGTGCTTTGGGAGGCTGAGGTGAGTGGATTGCCTGAGCCTGCGGGTTCGAGACCCACCTGGGCAACTTGGCGAGACCTCATCTCAACAATAAATCAAAAATCAGCCAGGCGTGGTGGCGCGTGCCTGTAATTCCGGCTACTCGGAAGGCTGAGGCGGAAGGATCGCCGGAGCCCAGCAGGTCGAGGCTGCAGTGGTCGGGAGCAGCCACTGCACTCCAGTCTGGGCGACAGAGTGAGACTCCAACTCAAAAAAAAAAAAAAAAAAAAGGCACAGCTCGTGGCAGCCTGGTGATGACACCTGCAGTGGAGCAGTACCCCACAGAGTATATACTGTAAATTAGTGACCATTATGTGTCCCCAGTTTGTGTAATAAAATGGATCTGGGGCCGGGCCCAGTGGCTTAAGTTTATAATCCCAGCACTTTGGGAGGCTGAGGTGTAGAGGACTGCCTGAGCTCACAGGTTCGAGACCAGCCTGGGCAACATGGTGAGACCTCTTCTCTACAATAAATAAAAAAAATTAGCTGGGTGTTAGCACGCGCCTGTAGTTCTGGCTACTTGAAAGGCTGTGGCTGAAAGATTACCTGAGCCCAGTAGGTCAAGGCTGCAGTGGCCAGGAACGTGCCACTACACTGCAGCCTGGGTGACAGAGTGAGACTCCAACTCAATAAAATAAAATAAAATAGGTCCAGGAACCAAAAGGTGTAAGTCATTACTCCCAGTGACCCACTCAGGAAGCTTATGTTTCTCTCCTACACAGCTCTGGGTCTTCAGGTTTAAGGGTCTTGACTGCTAGAGGGGAAACCCACCAGGGGTTCAGGAAGAGTGCCATTCAATTTCAAGCTATGGATGCTGCCTGGTCATTTCAAACTCTTTGTGCCAAGAGGCTGCCAGGCAAGGAATATAATTTCCATCCTTCTAGGGGTGATTGACCCTGGGCATCAGGAGAAAGAAGAGTTGCTATTAAATAGGGGGATAGGAAAGCACCCGGGTGGTATGTTTGGTCACTTCTCGGTCCCCAGTGCAAATTTGCTGGCAAATGCAGGGGTGATGGCCAGAGACGGGCACGGTGATTGGGGGCTTACCTCTCAGGAATGAGGGTTTGGATCACCCAATCAGATAAGCCTATATCAGTAGAGGCGCCAGGTGAGGGTGAGGAGATATTAGCAAGCTTGAGAGCAGCTGCAGTGACAAGATGTTCATTCCATTGTCTTCCTTTTATGAGTCTTCCCAGGAAAAGGCCCACTAGAATCCTGCACGAACTTCCCCCAGAATGTGTCTGGAGCAAGTAGGTCTGGGCAACACGGTATGGACTGTCACGAGCACTGTGGTGCTCAGATTCCCTCTTAGTACTGAAATGCCATCGCCAGCTGCTGGGACAGCCCCTTCCGGTCTTTGCCCAAGGCCACATCCCTTCCCCAGAAGCGACCCATTCAGTGCCTGGTTGGTGCTGAGGTATAAAGGCCCTGCTCACTTGACCCAATGGGGGCACCTGTGTAGGCGATGCTGCATCTCAGCTGCATCTTTCTTGGCTCAGTCTTACCTCCTTTATTCCCCAGTCACCTTTCCGAATACAAACCTTCATCACAGAGTCAGCTTCCCAGGGGACTCAACTTGTGCCAGCCTACATGCGTAATGTCTTCTTCTACACAAATGTGGGACCTTGGTTATTTAAAAAAAAAAAAATACAGCCGGGCGCGGTGGCTCACGCCTATAATCCCAGCACTTTGGGAGGCCGAGGTGAGAGGATTGCCTGAGCCTACGGGTTTGAGACCAGCCCTGGCAACTTGGTGAGACCTCATCTCTACAATAAATCAAAACATTAGCCGGGCATGGTGGCGCGTGCCTGTAGTTCCAGCTACTTGGAAGCCTGAGGCAGAAAGGATCGCCTGAGCCCAGCAGGTCGAGGCTGCTTGTGGCCGGGAGTGTGCCACTGCCCTCCAGCCTGGGGTGA